TTGAAGTTTGAGTTACTTTGTTTTTAGGCAGGTGTTCATTGAACCGTGTTTTGAAAGACCTCCTAGTCTGTCCAATGTAAAATTTTGGGCAGTCGTTGCAGGCTATTTTATATACCCCGCATGTTTCGTATTTATTATTTATTTGTGGCTTTTTGTTCAAAATGCTTTCTAGTTTGTTTGTGGTCTTGTAAGAAATTTTGTAATTTCTTTTCTTCAAAATGTTTGAAAATTTGTGACATAATTGGTTATCGTAGCTGAGAGTAACATACCGTTTCTCCCTATTTGCATTTGGGCGTACATTTTTCTTTCTATGCAGTATTTTGTCGAGCAGTGTGGGGTCGTAGCCATTGTCGGCTGCTATGTATTTAATAATCTCTAGTTCTTTGTTGTAATCGTCTTCATTCATTGGGACGGTTTCAATCTATGTATCTCAAACTTCAAATTATGCTGAACATTTAATTAACACCCACCATAATTATTCTACAATAGATAAAAACCTACAAATTCTCCATAGATGCAACAACAGAAACAGAATAACAGCATTAGAAAATTTAGAAATTTACAAAGCAGCAAAATCCGTCGGCAACAACCTTTTAAATGATAAATTAAATACCCAGGCCAATGCATTGTTTGATACAATAATTAGAGTAAACCAGGAATCAGCTGATCGACACGTCACGTGACCTTGAACTGGACACTGCAATGCCAGTCGCCGCCGGCCCGACCAAACGCGTGCACGCACCGTGACGGTATCAAAATAAATGTAATGTGTTTTTCTACGTGTGTTCTGTGTTTTATGTTTTAAATTGATGACGAATCTAAGAAGAGAATAACCTGAGGATGTGGCAGTCGCCACGAAACATGTAGTTGTTTATCTACCAACACTAAACGGATATTGTAAGGTAACAATAATAGTCTAGAAACAGTTGAACATTAATTTTTTAAAGGGAGGGATTCTGTGGGGGACGGTTTAAGATGGGATTGGTCTTTATTTAAAATTTTATAATATTTTACGACCATGACCAACTTACTGAATGGTTAGCAGGACCTTAATATGCTTGAAATCACATTTTATTCTCCGCACGCTTATTCTCCATAAGATTTACATGGGGATATTTTAATAAATTGAGGGTTAAATTAGGAATACGAGAATTTTAAATATCTTAAAGGTAATTTAGGCCAAAGACCAACATCCATACCAAATTTCAAAATTCTAGCTCTAATACGAGTGGGTAAGTGGGCATATCACCAAATTCCAATGACACAAATACCAAAACTTGGGGTTTTGACGGGGTTGGAGTCAAGGTATGTGAAAGGCGTAATGGGACAAAATGTACACTATAAAAGGTTGTATACAAAACATTAGTTCAATTTCATATTATCTTATGTTTGTGTAATTTAATCTGAAGGGAATCTCCAAAATTGTTTTTTTAAATTTTAATGCCGCAACGCCTAGGCCTAGCATGAAGTAAAGTGAAATAAACGGTATCAGCAATCTGACACATACTTTCTCCCATAAGTTTGTAAACAACCTTTATCATGTATAAAAGCGGTGAGAGTAAATACAGAAATGGGATTTGTACAATTTTGTTCAGAATTTAAAGGACTATAACATACAAAATTTTTATCAAAATTGTTCGAGCCAATTTTGGGAAATCCGATTTTTCCGTTATTTTATGGGGTTTTTTATGGGGAAATAACATAATTTACAATAACTTTTGAACCGTAATTTTTACAGAAAAGGGATTTGTACCATTTTGTTCAGAATATAAAGGACTATAACATACTAAATTTTTATCAAAATCGTTTGGGCCATTTTTGGGAAAATCCTATTTTTCTGTTATTTTATGGGGTTTTATGGGAAAATCCCCATCTAAAATCAAAATTTCTAAAAAAATGAAAAAAACTATCAAAATTGTAAGGACCATAACATACTATGTTAAATAAAAACTGGATTTTTGTCTAAAATCCTATTTTTCGTTATTTTATGGGGTTTTTATGGGAAAAAACATAATTTACCATAACTTTTGAACCGTAATTTTTACAGAAATGGGATTTGTTCCATTTTGTTCAGAATTTTAAGGGCTACAACATACTAAATTTTAATCAAAATCGTTCGGGCCATTTTTGAGAAAATCCGATTTTTCCGGTTTTTTATGGGTTTTTATGGGAAAATCCCCATTAAAAATCAAAATTTCAAAAAAATGAAAAAAACGCCTGGAGATACCATGGATTAGAACCTACATACCAAATTTCATCGAAATAGGACCACAGGTGTAGTCTCTAGCTCTGTACACATCCAGACACACAGACACACACACACACACACACACACACACACACACACACACACACACAGACATCACTTCGAAAACCACTTTTTTGGGTCCAGGGGGACCCAAAACGAATATATCCACTCAAAACTCAAACTCGAAAATTTTGACGAAAACAATACTTTCTCCATATACTATGGTATAGGGGGAGAAAGTAAAAATCCTAGGCTCGTGCATCCTAGGACAAAAAGCCGATTCAAACATCAAATAATGAAAAAGTTAAGGGGAAGTGCAAGTTACTTTTCAGTCACTCTGTATATACGATTTTAATGATTCTAAGACCTTATTCAAAATAAAAAAAGTAAAATTTATGTTTTCAATGGACTTTGTTGTATGTAGTTGTTAAAGTTTAAAATAATTATATTCATGAAAAGGAAAAAAGAGGAATGTATATTTAAAGGTGTTTGTCAGTAAATTTGCATGTCTGATTTTTTGTTATTCTTCAATTGTACTAAAAATTAGAGATACAAATATATAAGAAAAACTTTTTTATTTTGAATATTAAGCGAGATATGGAGCTTGAAAGTAGTATATTCTTCATCTTTAGTACCAATTTACAGGGAGAATGGGTAATGTGATTCTCACCAAAATAGGCATTAAGGTGTGGAAAAATAAGATAATAATAACTAGCTATTTAAAATTATAAAATTTTAAAAATTTTATTTTTTATAAAAATGTTAAAAAAATGTTAAAAAATTTTTAAAAAGTTTTAAAATAGCTGTTTGTTTTTAGGGGAAATTTATCTGTATGTTGGAATTTTAAAATATGTAATATGTTAATTCGTTTGGGCTGGGAATTAATACCTTTGATGCCTTGCGCTGTCGGAGCACTACTCGTTGAGAGTTTGTACACTAACACAGAGGCTTTAGAATACTTTAACATCACGTAATTATTAACATCTTTTAATATTGAAAGAATACGTTTATCGTTGTATTCTAAAGCCCCGGTGTTAGTGTACACACTCTCAACGAGTAGTGCTCCGACAGCGCAAGGCATCAAATGTACGAATTCACAGCCCAAACGTGTTAACATATCACATTTTTTAAATTCCAAAATACAGATAAATTTCCCCCATAAACAACCAGCTATTAAAAAATAAATAAATAATAAGTATTTTTTTTTAAATTGTACAGAAAATATATTAAATTTTTTTTTTATTTATAATATTAAAAAGCTAGTTATTAATATTATTTTTCCACAGCCGAATGCCAATTTTGGTGAGAATTAGTACCAAAGATGAAAAATTTACTACTTTCAAGCTCCATATCTCGCTTAGTATTAAAAAAAATTTCTTATGTATTTGTATCTTTAATTTATAGTACAATCGAACAATTACAAAATTAAGACATCGAATTTTTGACCAAACACCCTTAATCAATAATTTAATGTTACTGCACTGAGTTTGGTCATTAGAATATAACTCGTGATTACATGCTTTGTGTGTATAACTCCCTGATGTAATGACATATAGGCTATTTTGGGGGTTCTTCCTCATTAGTGAGCTGTACTTAAAAAAACTAAAAAAAAACTATTATTACAGTGCAATATTAGTTGTTTAAACTCAACCAATGTCAATAAGGGGTTGTTAATGTTTATGAAAAACACAAGGAATCTAGCTGACGTAAAGATGAATTATGAGGAAGTTATTTCAAAGTGATCTAAATACGAATCCATAACCTTTTTCACTGAACTTCAAAAAGAAAAGCAAACTATCTGTTATAATTTGTGATAGGGATAATTGATAGACAATTTATCCGAATTCTAAAAATAGCATATAACAACAAATTAATACATGACCATGTTAATTTTTAACATGGTGTTAAATTAAGTATACCATTTTAAAACTATACTGCGAATGTGTACAATCAACCGGATTCAAATTAATGTGATTTTACATATTAAAAAAATATCGTTAAAAAATACAACTTTTTAGAAAAGATGTGCTAAGGTAAGGTAAATTCCTCTGTAAATTAGGAAATTCTTAATTGACGCATTATTTTTTTGAAAATCAACTTTTTGATTCTGTTTGAAATTCAATAACTATAATTTACCAACCGAACTTTCATTTTATTTATTTGTCACTGGTCTGTCCTATTTTTGATGTAAAAAAAACTGGTACTTACGTATTATACGAAGGCCACTTATTTTACAGCGCGCTGCGGTGGTTAGGTTAGGTTGGTCTATTATAAATATGTTTGTAGGACTTTCCTACTTTCGTTATGAATCGAACCAGACAAGTCATAAACGCTTCATGATGACCAAACCTAACCGCCGCAGCGCGTTGTGTAAGGGTGGCCTCCGTATAATACGTAAGTACCAAAAACCTAAATAAATTTTCTACAATCCTGATTATGTTTATTTAACTCAGCTACCACTCAAGTTATTTATTTTCACTAAATTCACTGAATTCCATGTTTTCGTTTACCAGAAACCTTCTATCTGTAATTTATTTCCCCCTCAAATCTAAAATTCGTTTATACACTTTTGAAAAGTGATACCAAATAAAAAAGTATAGTCCCTCACAATAAACAGTAAGTGTAGGGGTGCAATGCGGTGCTGTGCAGCTGTGCAACCTAGTCTAAGTGCTGTGCAGATAGAGAGAGAGAGATAGAGAGTGACAGACATGAGGTAGATACACACCCTAGCCGGAGCGAGGTCCGCACTCACCCTGTACCCTCCCAGGTTGTTGACAACACAGGTGAAGATGGCGTCCCTCCCCTGGGGGATGGTCACGTTCTCCAGAGGGTACAGGAAGTCCGGCTCCAGTCCGAGCGCTGCAACAGGAAGTACCGTGTTAACAAGTAGGAAACATAGAGGTGAAGGTGTCGTTTCTCTCCTGGAGGGTGGTCACGTTCTCCAGAGGGTACAGGAAGTCCGGCTCCAGTCCGAGCGCTGCAACAAGAAGTAACGTGTTGACAAGTAGGAAATATAGAGGTGAAGATGGCGTCCCTCCCCTGGGGGATGGTCACGTTCTCCAGAGGGTACAGGAAGTCCGGCTCCAGTCCGAGCGCTGCAACAGGAAGTAACGTGTTAACAAGTAGGAAATATAGAGGTGAAGGTAGCGTTCCTCTCCTGGAGGGTGGTCACGTTCTTCAGAAAGTACAGGAAGTCCGGCTCCAGTCCGAGCGCTGCAACAGGAAGTAACGTGTTAACAAGTAGGAAATATAGAGGTGAAGGTAGCGTTCCTCTCCTGGAGGGTGGTCACGTTCTTCAGAAAGTACAGGAAGTCCGGCTCCAGTCCGAGCGCTGCAACAGGAAGTAACGTGTTAACAAGTAGGAAATATAGAGGTGAAGGTAGCGTTCCTCTCCTGGAGGGTGGTCACGTTCTCCAGAGGGTACAGGAAGTCCGGCTCCAGTCCGAGCGCTGCAATAGGAAGTAACGTGTCAACAAGGAAACATAGAGGTGAAGGTAGCGTTCCTTTCCCGGAGGGTGGTCACGTTCTCCAGAGGGTACAGGAAGTCCCGCTACAGTCCGAGCGCTGCAACAGGAAGTAACGTGTTGACAAGTAGGAAATATAGAGGTGAAGGTAGCGTTCCTCTCCTGGAGGATGGTCACGTTCTCTAGAGGGTACAGGAAGTCCGGCTCCAGTCCGAGCGCTGCAACAGGAAGTAACGTATTAAATAGAAAATAAAACAAAGTAGTGGGTGTTAATATTTTAGGAGAGGGTTGGAAAAGTAGATTTAGAATGAGACTGTAAAACGGTCATTTAGAGTTAACCGTTGGCAAGTCAAAGACAACCAAGGTTTATTGACGTGCTACAGGAAGAAGAATTTTAAATATTTTTTAGGAGATAAATAAATGGAGGAGCGCATAACTATTGAGAGAAGGGAAACAAATGGAGTTAAACAAATGAGAAGACCCTTGACTGTTTGATACTGTAAAAAAACTAAAATTCGAGGTATTTTTGGTAGGTTAGAGACTGACATTACAACATGAACCATGGAAGTGGCCATATATGTTTACAGATTAAATAATAAAATTCAATTACAAATAACTTAAAAACCTTATATTCAATGTTAAAGAATTTCTATATTGTATCCACTGCTGTATATCACATCCTATATTTTTTTTGTAAATCCTATGTCCTAAATCTCTCAAACTATGTGTATTAACCTTATCCGTTGACTTTATAAGGTTTTAAATTCTTTTAAAGTAATCATGAACTTTATTTTTCCAACTAAACTCATAAAAATATATAAACGTGTTTTGAAAAGTTAAATCCGATTCCGGGCTTAGTAGCTTTTCATATTTTCACCTAATTTGTATGTAAAAAATAAATTAAACCCCAAGACCACTGCTGACCTACGGACCGACACCGAGCTAGAGTTAAGCAGCACTTTATATACAGAGAGGCGCGCCCCGACCGCTCTTTATGTGCTATTAGCATGCTCAACAAATTTGATTGTCTTTCAACTTGACAATTTTTATCCATACACAAAATTCCATTTTAATGTAGGATTTTGATCCTGGTTGTTGGAGGATGTAATTTTACACTAGCATTTTTTGTTGTGCATACATTATTTCTAAGGGGTTTTGCTCTTGAAATTAATTTACAAAATGAAAACAGACACTTAATGAATAAAAAACCCAAATTTTTTAAAATTATTTTAAGTAATTGACATGTTGGCTTAAAAAGAAACTCACAACTGCTCAAATATGAAACTAAATTACATTTTTTTTGTGTTATATAAAAGTTCTTGACGATTATTATTTGTTTAGTATCTTTCTTTGGCGAAATGTACTCGGAAATACATAGCATTTAGTCTATGATATCAGTTAGTGAAACATAACTGGTATGAAAATTCACACATTTATAGCTTCAAATTTTACTATAGAAAAGTCTGCTACAGGATCCGAAATCAATAGAAAAAGGTGCCAAATCTTAATATAGTGCAAGTATTCATACATCTTGTCATAGATGAGTTCTGAAACTGGTATACAAAACGTTTACTAGATTTAGATTCTTTTGACTTTTTTAGAGATTTAAATTGCTTCTCAGTGTTTTAGACAGCTTGTCCGTTTACCTATGTACGTTCAAAAGCGTGAATATGTCATCGTTTGAAAGAGCTGAAATATCAAACTTTGCTGTGAATATAACGAATAAAACATTTTGAGCAAAGTTGGTGCTAACGTCACTTTTCATATACAGGATGTTTCAGTAAAGTGTATCGGTCTATGCAGATTCAGATTTTACATAAATAAGTCGAAAATATTTCGATTTTGGCTTAGTTTAGCCGTAGGCTAATCCGCCATTTTGGATTTTTTTATTAATATCTCAAAAGCCCTTAGAGGTATTTTTATAAAACATGGTAAAAACTTCAAGTCTATAAATATAAACATTCTCCAAAAATATCTTTGATTAGGCTCATAAAATTTAAAAATGGCGGCCATTTAAAATGTTTAAAGTGAAATTCCATGAAAATCACCCATTAAAACAAAATTTTAAATGGCCACCATTTTGAAATGTCAAGAGCCTGATCAAAGATATTTTCGGAGAATGTTTATACTTGTAGACTTAAAGTTTTTACCAAATTTCATAAAAATATCTCCAAGGATGTTTTAGTAATTAATTTTATTTTCAAAAAATACAAAATGGCGGATTACGGGTAAATTAAGCCGAAATAAAAACAAGGTATTCTACATTTTCGAATTTTTTGCATGTAAAATCTGAATCTGCATAGCCCACTACCCTTTACTGAAACACCCTGTATATTACTAAATACTTTCGAATCCCGTAGAACAATAGTCGTAATTTTTTGTTTGTTTCTAATATGTTCAATATTTCAAAAACTATTTGCCTACCTGTTATTTTATTTCACACAAGCCCCTTGAAAAAAAAAAATAGTTTGGGGGAATATATAATCTACTTATATAGGACTACTAAGGTCATATTCCTAATTGGATTTTTTTTGACACCCTAAGAACGCTACAATCTTAAAATTACATAAACCCCATGCAACATATTTAGCCAACATTACTGTTTTAAAGCAAATTAATGAATACTATAAACATCTGACTTCCAGACTTTAGGTTGCATGTAAGGTTCATCATAGAATTGAAATGTATAAATATTACTGATAATTGAAATAATAAAACACTTAACTTGTGTTCGAAAATGGAAAATTGCTAATTTCCAAAAATTCAAAAATCAAAGTAAAATTTAATTCGTGTTACCAAGTAAAATTTACTTAGCACGGTAAATATATTTTCTTATGTAAGCAGGCTTAGTACAAGACATAAATATATATTAATCGTATCTAACACTTGAACTAATATCGGTTTAAGTAAGTTGATAGGATAAGCGATGATTTAGGTTTACTGTCAATCACTGCTACTACAAATGAGACCTCTGATAAATGGATTAATCCTGAGCTCGAAATTGGATTCGAATCGTTGAGGTCTCAAGCTTCACTTGCTCTCAATTATAGCTGAAGGAATACGTTAAGGTATATTACATACGTGTGTACATTAGTTTATTGCATTAAAAGAGGGTTAGGAGGTAGAAGTAAATATTCTATAGTATTTTTCAAAATATTTCATGAATTAGAAGTTAACATGGGAACAAAAAGAAGTGTATGTTTGCCATATTAAGTGGAGTATAGGTGTCATGACTAAGAATAGTTTGTGTGGCTTTAGGCAGGTCCATTTATAAAGAACACAAAACCACCATATAGATTTTGCTTTAACTCGTACTTAAGACTTACTTGCTAAGGATCAAACCGGTGATCTTTTCACAGGAGGGCAATGGTCAGTTACTTCTTTATATTTGTAAGTTAGCATAGTTTCAATGGCATTGAATAATGTCAATGGCCCGATTCTAAAGAAAATACAATACAGGTTTATACAATATGGTTGAAAACACGAGTTCATGTTTATAACAGGTATTTCTTTAAACAGTCAGAAAATAGTCTAAAAATAACATCGAATAATTCCTAAAGGTGAGCGGTTGGGTGACACAATGGTTTCACGATTAATTATCTGTAATCAGTACAGAAACTAATACAGTACATCTTTTTAAATGGCCACTTTGTTCTCCACTACCGCATAGTCTACCTTAAAACTTAAAATAAACACACTACCTTTTAACGCATTAATAAACGCTTAACTAAAAGCGTAAAAAAAACTGGTGTCCCCTCCCCAATGTGGTAGGTGATTTCAAAAATAGTTTAACCTAAAGCTTCCAAAGAATCTTTCCCTGGAGTTGATTTACGTAAGTTCAGTAACTAACCATTTAGACGCACACATGCTTATTCGATTTATACAAAAACATTCACTATTAATTTTTTACATTACACACATGCTTGACGAAACAACAGCTTTCTAATTTTCATACAAAATGCAAGTCTTATAACAATATTGTTAGTAAACAGTTGGTGGTTTTGAAATTTGAATTTCAAATTAGTATAAACAATTTTATTTATTTATTAGCATAACAAATGTTTGAATAAAGTAAAGTTCACTTTACCTTAGTACTTTAGTACATTACTAATTAACTAATATGATCTACATACATTGTAGACGGTTTCCGAATATTTTAAATTTAGTCTGAAATTATTTCCTCTCCTTGTAGCCTATTAACAATTTGCACAACTTTTATAAATACATCAATCACAAGCTGAAACTACACCCAACACCTTTGACATCTCAGTTTTGAAGCATGTTTTCCCCAAAGTTATCAAACGTACAGATGAAATCTTGGAAGCATCACTGCTGTGAACGCATCACTCAGTGATTCTGACTGTGACATACGTCCAACTGTTTGACCGCGGCTGTAATTGATTTCGTTGTTTTCCGTCAACCATTTCGTAAAAAATCTGCAAAATAACCAAGGATACAACGCGTAGCGTGTTGTCATGGTGATTTTTGAGTTATCAAATTGTATCACATCGGTTTAAACGCTCGAGTTCCTTAGTTTTATCACAAAGTCAGTAAGTTTAACAAACTATTGTGCACTTAAAGCATCATATCTAAATAATAGTTAGCTAAAAATGACTTTCAAATAATTAATAGAATGGAAAAACATTAGTTTACTTCCAAATAACTAAAAAAAAAACAACCCAACAGTTTCGTCAACAAAGGTATTTTCAAGTGTATTTATTTACCTAATTCTATTTGTAAAATACTATTATATACAAATGCAATTTTTGATGTTTTACCGAGTTATAAAACAACACAAAAAATAACATATGAAAGTAAAATGTTAATTGTCTTTTTCCTCATTTGATTTAAGACTGTTCTTTTTAAAAATTATTAAATTAGAAATATATTTTATTTGTGATGTAAGTTAATTAGAGATATTGTATGTTACTTTTTGTATCTTTGTTGATAACGTACGTAAAATAAAATAAAAATAAACAACCACAACTACAATATACACAACACTACAATATACTACAATATATACTGGCCTTTTTGAACTTAGTTAAACAAATTTAGTTATACATTTCATTAACGTACGTAATGTTAAGAGATGATAAGAATGCTTACGTTTTCATCGTAATTGTTGTATTCTTTGACTGTAGTGTATTAAGTTAATGTGGATTTTTTGCCATATTTTTATAAGATTTTGTTATAGAGGTTAATACATTCCAAGTTTAGAAAGTACCAACTAATTACGGTGTCACAATATTTTTCGGTGATACGCCATCTTTAAACGCCCAGGCCATTCTTTAATAATAAATGCATGTTAATTTGTATTTCCAAACAACACCGACTTCATAATACTTTTAAAAATTAAGTAAGTGAATTCTTATGGAAAGAAAATAAATACAAAACCGTGTTGACCTATTTGTTTGGAGGGTGGATTGATAAACAGCACTTTATATACAGCGAGGCGCAAGCAGCACTTCAAAGTGCCTCCCGCCCCACAACATACCACTCAGTAGTTCCTTATCGTGGATAAATATGATTGTGACTTGGAATACGAAATATAGCACAACTTGTACGAAAAGTAGGCCAATGGAGTATACATTAGGGTATGAGTCTCGTTTGAATTAGCTTTAGTATTTGAAAGGTGTTTTTTTTTTTACTTAGGACAATAGTATTAATAAAATAATTGATGTTAGAAGATAGCTTTTGATTTAGGAAAAGGAACTTTACATGAGGAGCTATTTACTATGTAAACTCACCTCACAATAATCATTTTAGGCTAGGCCTATTCTATAAATGTTTAAAGTTAATAAGTTAACAAAGATATACGAATTACAAAAGGTGTTTTATTGAAACAAATGAACAAACATGCAATTAAATTTAAAAGGCTAAGTTACGTTATAATGAAAAGACTGACAATAGAGTGTGGCTGAAATTAAAATAAAGTAGAAGATAAGTTTGAAATAAAGGTTTAAATTTATAATAGTATAATTTAGATGTGCTACATCTCAGGGTAGGGTGTCGTGCTGGATTGAATAAGAAGAATTAATAAATTAAATAGTGTCCAAATAATTAAGGTGTTAAACTTACCAAATCCCAACAATGAAAAATCTAATTTTGAGGTCGTCCAAAAGGTAAGTCCAATGTGCACTGAATTTAAAAGAGTTTAAAAGAAAAGTTTATACTTAATTTTGAAAATAATGTTTGAGTTAGTCCTCTTGAGGTTGACTATAATATAACTTGAATATAAACTGGTGGTTCTTGATGATATTAATTAATTTAATTTAGATAAAATCTGGACTCCTTATTTTAACAGTTTCAACTTTCAACTATGGCTTCCCTTCTCTTCTCAATCTCAATGTTCACATAGGTCTATTGTTGAACACATGGATCACTGTTTCACTGCTTTTTGAATTTTAATTCCTTAAGGACTAATTTTGAAATTATAGTATAAGAAATTTTGATGTATAGCAATTTTCTTACATATTTAATAAAAAATAACTAAGTTGTGGGCTTTGTAAAAAATATATAGGCTATGGAATGAATATTATTAATTATTAATTGAACAGATTAATGAAATTGTATGAATTAGGAAAATGAATACTAGGCCAGCCTTTCTGAGGAGTGATTAATAACAAAGGTGTATGAACAGAAGTTAACATCTTAAGAAACTTAATGCTAAAAAAAATGAATGAACGAAATGAAATATTACAACTATTATGGGACAAAGACTAAATGATGGCTTATTTTGAAGACACTATGTAGGGAAATAATAGTAAAAAAATGACTTTCAGCAAAAACGTACTTAAAAACAACCAGTTACAACCAGTAAAAACAACATACCTAATTCACGTATTTTAAGGTAAAATGTGTAGGTAGACGATGTTAATAACTATGAGATATTCGTAGGTCATTCAGGTAAAATTGTATGTATTAGCAAACATTTCACCTATGGAATAAGCAAGCCATTACCTAAATTTTAAAGGGCCTTTCAATTTTTATAGGGTTATGAAGTCGGTGTAGTTTGGAAAAACTAATTAACATACATTTAGTAGGTGCGACGAAATGGTTATTAAATTAGTTAAACTACCGACGCACTGCTGTAACGACTAATGTGGATTTATAAATATAAAATACTACTAGTGATAATAGGTACTAGGGGCCGAGTTTTTCCCCTTTTATTGTTCCCCAAGGACAAAAACAAATTCCGTCAAAATTCATAAGGCCGTTCCTTGAGGACGAAAAATCTACAACGGATTATTATACGTAATGAAGATTCATATTATGAATTATTATGTCGAAAAAAAAACGGAAAAAAAACTATGTACTAATCTATTCCCTGGTTGATATCCACCAACCAAGTATTGCGGCTCTAGTCGTCAAACCTGTCAGCTGATTTGCTCACCCCGAACATGTAATCGCCTTAAATTAAGTCATGTAATGAGATCCAGCTAAAACCTTGTCACTCGGTAAGACGCACGGAGATTACCTTCCAAACATGTCCTGACGTGTTATGTGCAAACTGTTGATATTACAGGCGCCATTGTTATTTGAAATTTGGTGTTTCAGTTAGCGTGGCTTCATTTTAAAGGTTTACCATGGTTATGTGACTTTTAGCGAATTTCCCTATAGGGAAGTAGCTATTACCGTAGGTGGCACAGTAAGACCTAGACCCGGGA